TGATGTTTAAAGTTGGATATCGGCCATGATTTCGAAAATGAATTTTGAAAATTTTACTCTGATTTTTGGGAAAGTACGGAATTTCTTTAAAATCAAAGTGGGGTGTTACATACTCGTTGCACAGTATCGGGGCGTCTGTTTCTTCAAGGCAAACAGATTGTTTCTGTGATTCGGCTATATGTGTTCTATAACAATATAGAACTGTCAGTTAAGTTATTTAATTTTATAATAAAGTTATTTATTTACTAATAGAAATCTGGTTTCATCTCACGTTCCCGTGGTTGAATGTTTGTGGTTTCTATTTTCAAATTCTTAATACGTATATGTGTTGAACTCGTTCTTAATTCGCCTTTACAATCATTATTTTTTCCAACATAAATTACATGCAATTGCAATTGTAATTGCAATACAATAACCCATATTATACTTTCTAAAAAATTTACCTCTAATCGTAATTCTAGCAAAATAAATCTTATCCAGCCAAATGAAAATAAAAACATTGCAATTTGATTCAACTAGTTTTTATTTGTATTTGTTTTGTCAAAATTAATCTATCTGAAAAAAAAAAAACTTTTTAAGAAAAAAATATTTCTTCATTTAATCTCATTTTTCATTAAGACTAATTTTATCCGTGACCCAATAAATGGGTCACGGCAATAAAACAAAAAAAAAAAAAAGGAAAATGTCATGATGGTTGCAAGACCCAGGTCACCATGTGACCTCGGATCGCGACCGGTATTGTGAAAAAAAATGGGACATTTGTCTCATTTTTATTGGACAAGTGTATTTTTTTTTTAAAAAAAAAATATTAAAATTTATATTTTTTCATTCTCTACAAATAGAGACCACACTTGATATATTTTAGAACACATTTGTAATTTCTAAATAAATTAAAATAAAATAAATATGTATGTTGAGTTGAGTTGAGAATAAAGATAAATTAGGTTTGAAGATTGAGTTGTGTATGTTTTAGAAATAATTTTTAATTATTAAGTTGGGTTGAGTTGGGTTGAGGATAAGGATGGTCTAACGACGCTGACTAAAGCAAATAAAAAATAATAATTATTATTATATATTCACCAACAAAAAAATATGATTAATTTATAACACATTTCTAATGTAACATGTTTTTAACTATCAATTTCTATCAAACCAATATTCTATTATTTTTAACTCATACATTTTTAACTATTACATAATTCTAGCTGCCAATTTCTATCAATTAATATTTTATTATTTTTAAATTACGTCAATTTATTATTATATTTTTATCTTATATAATAAAAACTCACAATTTCAATTTCATCTCTCTTTTTAAAAGCAATCTCTTCACTTTCGATTTCATATTCATCTCACTTTATAAAAGCAACCTTTTCACTTTATCATAATTTTTCGAATATGATAATTTTTTTGGAAAGTCATATTAAAAATTGTGTCTTTTTATATGTCCATGCAGGATCAGTTTATTTATTTGTCATTAAAGGCCTTCGAGCGTATCACACTATCCCAATATGAAACCCATTTAATTTCCATAGAATTCGTTATAGTTAATCAATCAAAGATTTTTCCCACTACTAATCTTGTGCACATGCATAAATGAAAATAAAATTTTATATATGTTATATGTATGTTTATGTAATACTTAAAATTATAAATTATGTAATGAGTATACACATTTTATAAATTTTATAATTAGTAAAAATGAACGATATAAGTATTAACTATTTAACTTACATATTTAATCTTATGCAACTTTGATAATTATGACTATTAGGATAAAACAATTGTACACAAAAATTTAAAGGTTTGTTAGGCCAGAAATAATAATTGACTCACTCTAATAAAATAAAAAACTTGCTTAACGAGATGAAAATAAAATAAAATTAAATAAATAGTTTTAAAAAGATTTAGAATAATATAATATTTACAATGAACTCACACTTACATCAAAGTAATTGTCCAATAATTCAACTCTCCACACAAACAATCATATTCGACGCATACCTAGTATTTGTATTTTGCTCCTCAATATTACACCATTTTGATAGTCCTTCTGGAGAGGCTTTAGAGTTGAAGAGAAAAAAGAAAAGGACATTTTTTTTTTTTTTTTGTGAGTCGAGCTAGCTATTACGTGGGTCGACCATCATACCCTCAAAATAAACATGCATAATCGACGAGGGAATTTCAACTGACCTAAACGAAAAAACACATTTTGGGAACCTTTTTAATGCCCCAAAAAATTGCAAACAGCATGAGCATATATATGCACATCATTACCATGACAGGAATCTCCCATGAGCAAATAAATACTCTTGACTAGAAAAGAAAGAAAGAAAAAACATAGCTGCAAAAAAATTATAGATTGGAAGAAAAAAATGTAAGCTATATACATGGAGGAAGCTCAAAATATACAAAGCTAATAAGCACATAAGGTAAAAGTCCAAGCTCAAATGGGGGCTCTAAGCTCTGCTAGACATGCTCAAAAGAATAATGCACCAACACCAAAAATTAAAAGAATAGGAACAAAGAGGTCCACCCCACCTCCATAATAGCCTGTATTGCACGAGAACACACTCTCGTAAGGTTTTCGACAAGAAACAAAGAAAAGCTAATGTTTAAATTTATAGAGAATTATGGTAATATATTCAGCTCATAGGGAATAACGGTTATGTTTGGCCATTAAGTTGATCTCTAAAGCTTAAGGAAAAAATCGTCATAATAGTGTAATCAGCAGTCACTGTCTTCTTACTAGTGTCGAGTGTCACTGTTTATAGAGTTACAATTAGGTAGAAAACACAGAGATAACTGCAAATATTAACCTTGAGAGTAGAGAGTTATGCCAATTGCAGGAAAATAGTTTATTTCTCAAGATCCACCTCCTCGACATATTTTTATATTTTCCAAATTGCATACTATGGGGGCTTTACTAATTAAATAATTTAGCACCATCATAAACGTTAATATGTGATAGAGTACGCACCAGGGTTACCCAGATTCAGTGACGTAGGTAGTGCAGGCAAAGACATCTCTGAATATATTCAGACAAGTTTGTTATGAGAACTTCCCCCAAACAACTAGCAAGTACAATGAATTAGAGGAACAAAGGGCTTTGCCAGTACCTGGAGCACAAAGAGACAATGATGTGATGGTGGATGATGACGATGGCCATGGAGCTTCAATATTGTCCGTCAAATCACAATGAAAGCTAAAGCCTGATGAATTATCATATACCATATCCGCAGGCAGGCTAGGAAGTAAACACCCTGCTAGGCAGCTTCAAAAAGGTGATTCATTATATAGGTCACAATTTGCCAGAAGTGCCAGAGACTAATTACACCAAACCCAAATAGAATTCAAGACAATGTCAAAGCATGCGGCCAGTTGGTTTGTTTCAGGAGCTGAACCATGAAACCGTAAGAGTGTAAAACACACAAAATCACTGGCAATGCCTTTTTTTTTTTTTTTTTTTTTTTTTTTTTTTTTTTTGTTATTTGTTCTGACTCCCATGCAAGGGCAAAAAATACATAACAGGTTGACTCCAGTCTATTGCATCTCACCAAACAGAAATAAAAGTAGAAACAAGTCAACAACTTGTCAACTCAGGCATTCAGTAAAATAGGACATAATTGGGCAATGATACGCACCTTCTTGTCCGTACGCTGCTCCAGCACGCATTAATGTAACAGCGAATAGTGACATTGATCAGCATAACACCAAAATTTGTCAAGAGATCAAATAGAGAACAAAGTGAACCAGATATTATACCTTGGAGACTAAAATCTTTTATGTCTACGTTACAAAGCTTATAAACATTTGCCATCACACCACCGTTCTTCAAGACGGAGCCAAACATGGTTGCACATAGTATTGCTTGCCGATTTGTTATAAGCATTTGTTTTTGTATACCAGCTATGTAATTATTTAGGGAGCTACAACATGAATGACTAGGGGCAGAAACATTGAGGCATGCTGCAATTACTTTAGAGGGTTGTCTCAGCTCCAATGGACATGCTGCACCACCGAGAGGTAATTGGATTAATCTGAAAGCCTAATAGTATAATGTCTTCTATGTACAAGACCCAAAAGAAGCATAGCTTCGAATTCTATGGAAACTCACCTTTATTGACTTTGCAGGCAGACAATATCCGGAATGCCTTGTTTGCAGAATCATGAGGAAGTTTTCTTGATATCCATGAAAAGACTACCCCTTTGCAATCATTAACCACATCAAACTGATTAGGCAGCCCAACTGCATTCTTATTATTGTTCATATATGATTGCACTCCTGACAACAAAAATGCAGCTTCCATAATTACAGGTTGACAAATTGGTCGGCAACATTCTTTAAGAGGATCAATTGTACTGCAAGCATCTATTAACATGCTTGTGTTCACTGTTCTCTCGAAAGTGGCTATGTCCTTCACAGGACATGAGCCACCAGTCAGATTTGAAGATTTCATGGAGCATATGGTTGATATTGAGTTGTTAGCGCCTCTGCTGGCTAATATACTGACAATATCTTTAAAGCAATCATCTGCAGCTGCATTTTGTAAAACTAAATTATCAGAATTGGCACTATAGAATCCCTTGAATATGTGGAGCAAGCTACTAAGTTGTGGGCAACATATGACATTTGCAACTACTCCTGCAAACAGCTGGTTGCAGTCTGATGCTGTTTTTTCCATGACACTTGAGATGACAGAAAAGTTTACAGGGCATCTTCCAGTCAAAATGGGCTCATAGGTACTAGGATTGGTGGGATACATTGGAGGCAAACTGACATTTGGAAATGGCGTATGTGGAAAGACAGCAGGTGATATTTGAATGGGTTCAAAATTCCCACCTTCTGGGGAGCTAGTTAGCATAGGTTCTGATGTAACGTGACTGGGATAGGTTTGTGTCTGTAGAGGCAACACATTCTCAAAGCTACACATCCAAATAGTAAATCGCAGTAACCAATGAAACCAAAAGCCTGCAGTTTTATAAAACATGAACTAATCAAATAATCAGCACATGGTAATGGATTTAGTGTGAAACACTTAAGATGTTTTGTGCCATGTTAGCATGGCACAAAACAAATAACCGGATAATTACATAAATCTATAATAATACATCATATTGTTAAATTGATTAACATGGAATCCATTTATGAAACTATGAAGGAAATAAACTATGGTAGTATAACCAGATAGCAGGCAGGATTTAAAACATAGAGGTTGGGGGGGAGATCTCTTACCCTTGAGCCATGTAGCAGTTCTTACACAATCCATAACACCCACTAATCGTCAGGCAACATGGAGATTTGTTATACAACCCCACAGGGTGATCAAGACCAACAACTAGAATCTGGAGGAAGTGATCTCGATAAGCTTATACGTAGAAACTGTATTTGAGTATGACAAGAAATACAAATAAAAATAAATAGGATAAAGATATTAAAAACAGAGGGACACTAAATAATACTTATGCTCAAGATTTGCCATTTCAAGCAGAAAAAACACAGTGTTTGCTGCTATCCTTCTTCTAAAATGCCTCTAACAATATCTTCTATGTTGCTGCATTATCAAATTCAACAGACTACCCATCTACTAATTACAGAAACGTATATCAAAGATAAAAAGAAATACTCTCTCTCTCTCTCTCTATCTCTCTCTCTCTCTCTCTCTCTCTCTCTCTCTCTC